AATAATTACAGTGATTTGTCCGAGTGTGGCCCTGAATCGCGCCTGCGAGGCAGTCGCATCGCGATATATAAAAAACTGCCATCCTGGGACTTGGCAGCAAGGTATACAAAACGTGTTTGTAATTAGTTTTCAGTTTACCAGTTTCCATCTGCTCTGAAGTTGGAAAGATTCATTTCATTGCAACATCCTTCCGGGCCACGCTTGTCTGGGCCTGAACGTGCATATCAAATCGACGTCATGGCATGTTCTGTTGACTGATCGCTTGATGGAGTGAAAGTTGCTTTTTCAGACGGACCGGAGACCAGAGAATATGCTTCACCGCTGCATGGACGTTCCTGAAGTTATTCTCCACACACTGGGCATCACAGCGACAGCCTTGATGTTCACGGAGTCCATCGATTTGTAACAGAGACAACAGGGAATATTATCTGTCAGCGTAGAATCACTTCGAGGTTGTGGAGGTTGTCCTATAACTCCGTGGGCTGGTTGTCCTGTGCAGTAGACTAATGTTATCCAAACACAAAGTGCGTTCGTGCAATCAGAAGCTCTGTGCAGCTTGCGGCCTTCCGTGGCTCCAGCAACTTCAATTCCCCAACCAACCATTAAATCTTTTTGTGCTAACCTTTCACTAGGAATGGCTATGATCTGCAAACCAGAGAATGTGAAATACCTACTCCTGATAGGTTTCATTCTAGTAACCACCGTTGATGAATGGAAAATTGACCCGGACAACCCACGTTTGCGCACATACGACAACTGCAGGGGAACGAGAGGCCTCCGAAACCAAAACAGGTGTGCCCAAGGTAACCACATAAATTGAAAAAAGGTGCACATGCAGGGAATACAGCGGGTGTTAATTGTTTGAGAAAATTTCGGGTTGTTACTAACAACTTACTGCTACAACTCACCTCGAAGCGATCTATCTGATGGTACTTCAGATTTTGTGTGCATATGCTAGCGTACCTAAGTACGTGATTGAAGTCATGCCTCGTCATCCGGATAGGTAGCTACTGTCCCAGCGAAACTCTTGACGGTAACTCCGATAAGTGGTATGCCTGTCTTACTCGCACACGAGCTGATGAAGTTGTCAAACTCCATAAGGTACTCTGGCTTGGCAACGTGCCTCGTTTGTCAGTTGGTCGGCTTTATCAAACAGTACATTTCGCACAATCACATGAAGGCCGGAAACGGGCCAAAGGCCCTACAATGACCTGACAACGCAGTTCGAGAGCCATTACCAGCAAACGTTGCCGTCTCCATGGAAGGGGACCATGGACTGGAGAGTGGAATGGCTGTACAGTGGCGTTTGCCATATGTACCGACAACGACGAAAAAGCTTTTGCTACCGAATACACCCGCATATTCGATGTGTAGAGCAGCCCATGGATACGTCGGCTGCGATCGTGACCGCAATTAGCTATTCATAGTGACTCGGATACACCACCACGCCGTGGGCTATCGCTGTGTGGAGCCGCATCAGGAGTCAGGCAGGTCTTACATCTTGCACTCACGGACCAGGCAAGCCCTTTCCAGTCTTTTCCAGCTGTGAGTGAATTAGAAGGCGGCTCAGAAAGATCGGATGCACCTTCCAGTTGTTGATAAAGATTCTGTTCAGCATTTATATCTGTTGACAGAAAGGGCATTTCACTGTTTTAAAACACCAACGTATATCAGTGCTGACCAGGTAGGATAGAAGGCTGGTGATAAACTTTGTGTCGAAAACCACCTGGATTGCATGCTCCGGGCTATCGGCGTGGTTCACGAGCTTCTTCGAAGGCTTCAGAATGCTTTTGGTCACACTGCCGAAATATACCGACCCGCAGTGCGCATGAACGGCTCGCTATCGAGTGATGTTCAACCCGCAAGCACCTAAATGGGGAAAAACCGAGTTCGGCTCCACGCAGAATCTGTTACCCGAGGCGGAAACAACGCTATTATTGTCAGGTGCACAAGTTATTCTTCAGCCACGTTATCAAAGGGACAAGGCGGTTGGATATTTGCTGGCTGTGTATGAAAATCGTCTGAAACAGTTACAATTAATGCACGCAAAAAACGCGCCTCCGGTTGGCTTTCCGCGGGTGAGAAACAGCACAATGCCGCAGCTAAACGCGGTTTGGCGGAGTGCCGACCCTCAACGTGTACGTGAACAGGCTGAACATGTTGCACAAATGCGCAAAATGTTCATACATGACGGGTTACCTGATACCTATACCGTCTGTATGGTGTGATAAATGCGTAGCTTGTACCTACGCGCTCAAATTTGTTCTAGCCCAGGTGGTTCGTAAGGTGCGTAGTTTTACATTTTACGACTTCTGGGAAACAGCGAGATAATGCGATTTGCCGCTTGCGGGAATAACATAGATGGTTAAATCTATCATCCTCATTTTAGGCCACAGTCACACAACCACTTTCCTAAAGTTTAGCTAGAACCGACGATGAGTCCTCTAGGAAACCAGAAAACGTAATCATTCACCTGCTTAAACTGCGGATTGGTACTTGGTGCGATAGTCATAGGCATCCTGGATAGCCAACACTTTCCCGAATTACTCCACTAGTAATTGGGAACCTCCTACAGGTGGTAAGAAGTCTTGAGCAAGGAGTTGCTGGACTGGCCAACATCCAGTCTGGCCGGGCATCAGATACACTGTGTGAACGATCACAGACATTTAAGTATTCACTTGCTAGATGCGATTAATTCCGTGACCTTGGCTTGGTCGACAGGGGTGTCTGCTGCAACAGCAGAAAGTTGTTTCATACAACAGCGGCGAATTATTGCCTCATTTTGAGTTTGCGCGGACCAAAACTACGAAATAATTGATCGCCTGGTGTTTGAAAACTTTTTCAAATGCATTGGATGAGTATAAACGCGAATGAGACAAATTTCAAGCAAAATCCTGCACCAAATGTTTAGGTAAACCACGCCGAGCAATGGCAGCCAATGGAAATATGAACCCGCCGCCCGTAGTGAGCCTTGAGCAGGTTTAAACGACATAGCAGCCGTATGATGAAGATTCCAAGAGTTCGAAAAATACCATCCAATGCTGATACTTTACGTTAAAACCTACCATCACAGAATACGGCTCCAGAGAAATTTGGGGTGTTCAACTAGGGGTCGCGTTTCACTTATTTTTCGGTCAAGACTTTGCAAATCCAATCCGCGTCCGAAACTTTGGATGGGATCAGTTGTGCATTTAAATGTTTCCGCTTATCCCCTCAGTACCTAAGTTTGGTTCTGCTACCTTGTCAACTGTTAGAAGGGGCAGCACTTTGGTATCTGACTCCAGGATGGGAAGAATGATGTTCAGGAGGTTTTTCTAGTTAACATACCACCTGCATCTGTGCGGTTGCAAGTAGTGCATAAAGAGAGTTTAGGAGCACTTCAGCGAGTGGGTGTAAGATAATTCCTGCCTGCTACTATGCTGAGATTAATGGAAGCTTTCTCTGAGTTCATCTTCAGATAAGATTCATTGACCGACATGTACAAGCACCTCACAACCGAAGGAAGCCCTAGCCGCAAAACGACTGTGATAGTCTGCTCGCTCTCATGACACATTGACATCACGGCTGTATCTTTGGGTGTCACAACGGCTTACGCATTCCACTTTCGCTAGTACCGTTTGCATTATGACCCTCCGTTGCTGAACCTCATTTTATTCAGTATGCTTATCTGGGTTTACTCATGACTCACGTCTATCCGTTGGGTTCTTTATAGTGTGGCCATTTTACCTAACAAGGCCGGAGGCCGAATCCGAGGGCCCAATAGCCGCACAATGCTCTGCTGCAAACCCTCTGTGAAAGGATTCAAACGTTTGCGCCAAAATGTTTCGTCTTGCTGCATATTCTTATCTGCATTCTTATCTGCATTCATTGCCGCTGATGCAATCATACCTCCGACAGAAAGGTGTGTTTGAATGATTCCCCAGCATCGCTGAGACCCCGGGATGTCTAAACGGGGCTCAAAGTTTGGACTGGCACTCTGAACTTAATTGCCTGGGACACGTAACAGCTTCCTAACATACAATTCCATTGTGCGAATACTGTGCATCTGGGTCTCCTCAGACTTGTCCTTCTCACTGCACCATGAGAAATCGGCCCAAAAGGCATTCGCCATGTTACGGATGATCCGACGCACCTTCGCCCGTATGACTCGGATGGACTTCCAAACGCTCTGTGGGACCTACGTCAGACCGCTCCTGGAATAGGGTAACCAAGTTGTCTACTCAGGACGCACGAAAGACGTCACCCTCATTGAGCGTGTCCAGCGAGCCGCCACGAGAATGGTTGCCGTCCTCAAATCCGTGGACTACGAAACGCGTCTCGCGATGCTTGATCTCTTTCCCCTGGAGTACCGCCGCCTCCGAGGGGACCTAATTCTTATTTATGCTCTGTTTGAACAAAGCTTGGCAAACAGGTTTTTCACCGTTGACCCAGCAAACACACGGTGGGGGCACACCAAGAAAATTTTCAAGATCAGAGCACACACTCATTAGACAAATTTTTTCTCATTTCGGGTTGTAGCTGCGTGGATTGACCTTCCTCCGGGGGTTGTTCACGCTCCTTTTAGAACCCAGTTTAAAGCACTATTAGACATTTATTTATGCGAATCCTCGCGCTGGCAAGCATACTGCCCCGCGCTGTGAACATAAACAGCAGTGTTACACCCTTTTTTCACTGGTACCTTTCAGATGAACGATAGCCACTGACCGACAAGAACAAAATAAACCCGGGAAACTTGAGCAAAAGCCTCGATCCTGTGTATCAATCCATGAATCCGTGCACCTAACGTCATGAACCGGTTTGAATTTCCCAATAATTCACAACACAAATACACAAGCGCCCATCGTATATAGGAGGTGGAAAGTTAGGTTTGATTGGCCCTTTAGGACTAACTTCACTCGAAAGTATTCGGGAAGTCCTTCGATCTGAGCTTGTCAATATAAGCGGAAATTTGTTTGTCCGTATTCGCCACTTATCGCGGGAGGCACGCTTTTCACGCTAGGATGGTGCAAGCCGGTGGTAAGACTCGCAGGACCACGCGTAAAGGCGTTGCGACACGTGAATATACTATCCATATACATAAAAGAATACACGGGGTCGGATTTAAACGACGTGCTCCAAGAGCGATTAAAGAAATCAAGAAGTTTGCCAAGAAAATGATGGGTACTGAAGACGTTCGAATCGGGGTGCGTCTGAATGAGTTAGTTTTCTTTTGAGTAATACAATGAAAATGTAGGTTCATTTGGTCAAAAGGTGTGCGGAACGTCCCATATCGTGTCCGAGTGCGGCTAGCCCGAAAAGCGAACGAGGATGAGGACAGTGCTCACAAATTTTACACACTTGTAACGTATGTGCCCTGTGCGGATTTTAAGGGGAAACAGATCTCGAATGTAGAATCCGCCGAGTAAAATATATGTGGACAGTGTGGATTTTTTGTTCTACTCAGCATCAAGTGGACCTATGATTTGGCGGTCTGACTATTATCTAAATCTGTTTGCTTATGCATTCAGTTGCGTAAAACGGGGTCAGATTTCTTGAGTACATGTGAGTACATGGTACCATAGTGGCAATTGAGAGAACTTGGAAAGCCGTCCGAATTCGTTGAGAAGAGAAAACGATGAAAATGATAAGAAATAGTTTTCAAGACGCCTTAGGTGAGCATCAGGGATCTCGCGTTGTCATTTGGCTAAGACTAAATGAGAATTCCTTCGCAGTGTTAATTCGTTTAGATCGCTATATGGCATTCAATTTCGTTATCGTCTGTGTGATGAAAAATTTATCATAGTTTCTGTTACATCGGTGTTGATGTACAACTCGCCTCTGATGGCACTCATCCCTATCTACACGGATCTCATTAGTACTGTCAACGCTATCGATTTATCCGTTGTATGATATGGGAATCTAAACGGTAAGAGGATTGTTCATCCAAAGCTGCGAAAACCAGGTACTTGCCATGTAATCATAGCCTCGTCCGTCGATGAGGAAGCAGTGATATATGTGGCTAATGCGTGGCCACCTGGGTGCCTTGATTTTTAGTTGAGAGATCGGGGGATCTATGCATTCGAGACAAGAGCTCCAATGCTTGCTTTTACGACGTTGGCTTCCGACTTTTTGTTATTCATTCGTGATTAACGACGTCTCCGCAATCAAGCGACTCCTTTTCATCAACATCAGTGTCTACCACTGATGCTTCGCTTCCGTACAATCATTTTTTGAGATCCTTGTGTGAAGAATAAAGTTGGTTGGAAACGACTTAGTGCTAGCTACACACTGACAGCAAGAACGCAATTGGCCTCGGCTAGCAGCTATGTCTGGTAGTGGCTTCAACCAGATGCAGTAGGAATTATGCGGGGAGTAATACTGACAGCACCCAAATTCTGTCAGGTCAAGGGTTGGCTACCTCCCTGCTTCCGCCACTCTGATCTGGGCGCCAAGAACAGTAATCTCTTTGGCATGTGCAATATATAGCCTAACCAGCGTATCTTCTGGTACTGGACGCAATTCTCGACGGAAACCCCCGTTGCACAACTGAACACTTTCTAATTGCCCCGAACCCGCACGAAGTATGGTACTGGGATAGCGATTCCCAAACTTGTGATGATGTCTTCGTTCCGCTGCTCGAACAGGACAAGTTTCACAGATACAAGAAAAACCGCCCACACAGTAGCCTGAACCCATAGGTGGCTCAAATTAGCAAATACGATACGAGCCTTGGAGACTCGTGCACTGAACTCACCTGTCACAACAATAAGAACTACCACAACTTCCAAGGTGCGTAAAACGCTTCACAATTTTGAGTGCTTTTTCCTGTATTGTAAGTAATGTCCTCAATGAGTGCACGTCCAGGAGCATGACTTTACACTCTGAGAAGTGCATATCAGAGGACGGGATAACTGGTCGGTTCGTCCAAAAGCACTGACTTTTCTTCGAAGACGAGGACGTTTGCATATTCCAGATTGACAAGGTTTTCTTCAGAGGCTATTTTAGCACCTGGGTCCTTAAAGACCTTCCAGCGTCCGTCTCATCACGGATTTAAATAGGAATGGGGCGAGTGAGCACCCCTGATGGACATCGCTCTGTATATGGAAGCTATTGGAGAGTTCTCTGTATACTCTCACAAGTTTGGAAGTCTGGTCATACAAAAAATGTTAGAACCATTGCACATTCATTAAACGTTGCTTGAAGCCCAACCTAACCCCCTTGTCAGTGGGGCGAGATGGCACAAGTGGTTAGAGCGCGAATTTACTGACCGGAAGGTCTGTGGTTCGAACCCGATCTTTGCCTCTCGACTTCTGTGTGGGCTTGGGCAACCTCGCCGTACCCCAGTCATCGTGCAACCTTCGGTTGGCATGGTAGGGTAGCACCGAAGGGGTGCTACAGCTGGACGATTTATTTCCCCTCGTCTACTGATTGGACCACCGGACACCACTCGCTTCTCTCCGAATAGCACTCAGCAACCTGGTCATTCCTCAGAGGATCTGCTTGACTGCTGGGTCGCCATGTAATATCCCTCAACACGCGTATCGGACCAACCAAGATCTTCAAACTATGCTCTCGCCCGCAGAGTAACTCAAAGTTGAAGTGACGAAAGTGAAAGCCATGCAAAGAGACGAATATGTAAGTTCGAAAAGTTGCCTTCCAAAATTCAGTCATGTAGTGAGCCCATTACTAAGTTTCAGCCTGGTTTGTAGGCTGGCAAATTTAGCAAGTCAACCGCTAAGCGAGAAAGTGTTGTCTGTTAGAGAAGGACTTGAATTTTTGAGTAAGCAAAAGAGTGCTAACGGCGGAATAAATAGTTCCTAGCGTTGAATCTGTCTTTCAAAATCTCCCGCCAATGGAGGCGGGGAAGTTATGGGTACAGCTGGTTACAGTCCTTAAGTCCCAGCAGCCAGGAACTCCAAATATTACACAAGCAGCGCAAAAGGTGGTAACCGAAACATGTAAACAATACAAAGATAGCCAAGACGGACAAGGGTAAGGCTACTGTTGTCATGAACGACGGTGATTATCTACAGAAGATCAAGTAACGCCCAGGTAAGGATCTTTACCGGCATCTCGATAGTGGTGTATTACATCAATAACGAATAGGGGTAAAGCCGAAATTGGGAGATATTTACGGTCCGTGATAAATTACTTGGGGCAAGGTTATTGGCATCGATTGTATCTCAAACATTCAATCCAACCACGGCTTTACGGCCTACCAAAAATCCACGAACGGGATGTACGGGTGAGACCGATAGGAGACGGAATAAGTTCCCCACCCCATGGGCTGGTCAGGTTCTTGGCAGGTATTTTAAATCAGATACCTTCATAATCCATATAACTGCCAACAAAGCGGCGAGTGTCACCGTGGAACCAGACGACATTCTTGTTAGTTTCGGTGCCAAAAAGAGACTGGAAATAGCGAAGGACTGCTACTAACAAACCATTCTTTCAAAACGAGCACAGCTCACGGTAGGTGCTTGAATCTCACTCATTTCGTTTTTGATTCCGCTGTTTCCACTCAAAAACAAGATGTCGGATTACGATCTCCAATTTCCCCGGTTTCGGCAAATATATTCATAGATTTTGAACGGAATAATTATCCGGATTTCCGTGCGTACTGAAGGTATTATAGTGTCTTGTAAATGATACCGTCGTGATGAGTCGAGACCAAGTGAGCTTTACAACTGTCTCAATTACCTGGTTACACACACCGACTTTTAATGTGGGGATAGAATCAACCTCGGGTACACTGGTCTCTTTAGACTACATGACACAAGGTCGAGGAGTAGCTAAAGACCACAAGCCAACCTACACGGGAAATTTTGAACTAAATCGTCTGTCGGTCGTCGGTATTCGCTCGTATTGTCCCATCAATGTTTGGACGTATAAGGGCCCTTCGGACAGAGCAAGCTGATCGGATAGCTTCTCAAATTGAAGTTGAGACCAAACCTCGGGATAGTGGATTTCCAGCTATTTTGACTAGGCGTCATTTGCGAAGGGTTTGTTACCGGTAGTGAAGTCCAACAAGGAATCGATTGGGGCTGCTGTTATTCCATATAAACCAAGGACATTTAGAACTCATTTGAAGGATCCTAAACACGGTTAACATAAGAGTAGCTTCCTAGGAGGTAAACACTGCGCTCTGCACTGGTGCAATTGAAGGATTGCCTCCGGGTAAACACAGACTGGGACAGGGTCTACAAATGTAAGTGTAACCACTGCACTAAGGTCCGTATAGCAAGACAGCAAGGTAACTTCAAACCAGAATCGGAGAGCTCACTGGATGGAAGTAGACAGGCCGCTGAGAAACGAGCGTTACTGAAAATCTCGAGAATGGCGGAGCATGCACTGAACAAGGGACCCCAAATAGCTTTAGAAAATGTCGAAGTTTTGAGGCGAGGACTACGGTCCATGTTGCAGAGTCGGATGGCTGAGACGTTAGAAATAGCCAAGCATCCCAGTGTTATCCGAATACAAGGCGTGGAACTGGCAGGCATGTGGAGAACGGTTTTGAACCGATCAACCAAGTCGAATTCGCCTTCGAAATCCAGAAATACTAAAATTGTGGGTAGTGCCTGACGGAGTCTGTATATTTGATCAACATAACCCCTGCAAGGCCGGAACCCCGCTTGCTGCTCTCGAGTTGTCGCTTTACGACCCACCAGAAAGCGACAAAGCACAAGTTTCTCCAGCACTCCTTACAACCTGGGCTGAGCCTATCCTCCGATGATTACGACACTCACTGCGAGTCCCTTTGAAAATGGGCACTATCATCGGTTCTCTCCAGTTGTCTGGAACATTCTCCTCTTCCCAAACACAGGCAAACAGATCAGACAAGCATTGACTTAGAATGACACCCCCGGCTTCGGACCATGCGGGTGGGAGGTCATCCGGACCAGAAGATCGGTGGCGCGTGAGAGAACATCCACAGTCAAACCTCCGAGGCCGTAGGGAGCTCCACGTTCGCCGTCCATCGTTGTACGTCAACTGCTCCAGCTAAGAGCTGTTGGCTACGATAGCCGTTGTTCGAAGTGTTCAGCCTAGCGGTCGGGGCGTTCCTCTTTATTCAAGACGGTCACTCCTTTCCGATCCCTGATGATTTCACTCACAGTTGGTTTCTGGGGGTTGGTTACACGAATCAAATAAAATAATCTTCGGGCATTCCCGGATTTCTAGGCCTCTTGCGTCTCCTTGGTCTTCCGTGTCCACTAAGCTTCACGGTCGGCGCGTACGCTTTTTTGACGTCAGCTTATTCGTCGGGTCGAGTTATGTTCGGGACCGGAGGGGATATTTCTCTGAGGTTTTAAGCAGACCCGCTGTTTGACCTGATATCTAGTGCTTGAGTAGGCTTGGTAGCCTTGTGCCACTGCCCAAACACTTTGCACTGTACAAAGAGATGGAGATCTCGTCCAAGTATGAACTC